TGGCCAGCCTGTGGTCCAAGGCCACGTGGGACTGACCTAGCCTTCCATCACAGCTCTCTGAGGAACTTCCCCCAGTCCTCAGGTTATGCAAGGATGACTCAGGAGAGCAGGGCAGGCTTGACCACAGCAAAGAAAGCTGCTGAAATCCCTAGACAAAGACAACGCTGCACAAACTTGGAGTGACTTACATTTCACTGTTTACTTTAGCTCATTCTTTGAACTACATTTGCTTCCAAGTGAAATAAAATTGACTTTGAATAAATTTTACAGTGTTCTACTTGAAACAGCTGGTTGGACTTTCCAAAAAGCATCTTGTCAGAATTATGTATTTTTTTCCTAAGACATGTTGTTCCACCCACTCAGTCATACCAGAAGCCTTAGCAATCATGGTAAATTACAGTGTGAACGCAAATCCCGGAGATCTCCATTCTGCACTCAGCTTTTTAGAGGAAGGTGTGAATGCATCAAATGCCTTAACTGTAATGCAGAGGAAACCTGCATCAACCTTGGTCCTACCCATTGCACAGAGAGGCAGGCAGAATTCAAAGAATGCTTGCAGCCACTGAAGCCAGCCAGACCCTCTGCGCGGCAGCCAAGGCAAAAGCAGCAAATGCAGCAAAATGGGACTTGAGCCTTAACTGATTCCTTCCTTTCTAAGTTCCAATTCACTGTGTCCTGGTTTGGGAAGGGATTATCCAGGAAGACTAAAGCAGTATGGGAAAGAAAGAAAAAAAAGAAAAGTTCAACGGAACACTCGTATATGAGAAAAATGTGCCCAAACCAGAGAGGCTAAGGCTCATGTTCCAAGTCCCGCTTGTGTAAACACTGGTCCTCCACCTCACTGAACTGCTGACGTGACATAATTAACCAGTTACAATAATAACACTACAACTGAACACTGTCACCACCAGAGGAATTTTAACTGCTCCAGTGCACTGCCCCCACCAGCTACATTTGTGCTGAGCTTCAAGGCAAAAAAGGCGACAGACAAGGAGGGTTTAGTATGCAGACAAACACAGAGTAAACAAGAGGAGTCTGGCCCATCTAGGAGTTGGGATCCTGGGTTCCCCTCATCCACCCTACCTGTTTCTTGTTTGGTTTTTAGTTGGTCCAGCCTTTGATTATTGCCTACTTAAGTAAATAAGATTCAGTAAAAGCCCTCATATACACTGCGATATAGTAAAAACTATATTCATTTACATCTGATTAGTATGTATATGAAGCAAATTCAAGCACTTTCATTTTTCATCTTTTTTAAAAAATTGTTTTCCTTTATTGATTATACAGAGAGAGGAAATGAGGAGAGAGAGTTAGGAACATTGATGAGAGAGAACATCGATCAGCTGCCTCCTGCATGCCCCCCACTGGGGATCAGGGTCACAACCTGGGCACGTGCCCTGACTGGGAATCAATCCGGCGACCTCTTGGTACATGAGTTGACGCTCAACCACTGAGCCACACCAGCCGGACTATTCTTCATCTTTATAAACTTGAACATAGCCCTCCCTCAAACAACTTAAATCCAAACTTTAAGACACTTTTATTTCTCAACTTTATTTTTTTAATCCTCACCCAAGGATATTTTTCCAGTTATCTCCAGACAGAGTTGGGGAGGGGGGAGCATTGATGTGAGAGAGATACATTAATTGGCTGCCTCCCGCACGACCCCGACTAGGGCTGGGGACTGAACCACAACCAAGGTATGTGCCCTTGACCAGAATCAAACCCGGGACTCTGGTCCGAAGGCTGATGCTCTACCACTAAGCCTAACTGCGCAGTGCGATTTCTCAACTTTTTAAACAAATACTTTAAAATTAGCATTCCCCTCACTAGCCAGAGGAAGAGTTTCACCTGCCAGTGACCCTTCCTTATCTCTTTAACCACACATTCGCTCTAGGGAAAGGAGGGTGCTGTACTCTTTTCTTGGTAAATTAAATCTGAAATGCAGCCCAACTCAGGCAATCAGGACCATCACATATGGTATTCTGAATGTTCTTCAACACACTGTACGGAAATGCTTGATCCCTCCATTGGGATGCCAAGGATTTCTTTACAATCGTTTGAGACCACAGCCCTAGTTAACTACTAAATCTGGATCATCTATCCCATGCCTCTTGTTTTGCAGAAGAGACAGAATGGCGATCTCTTGTCTCTCCTGTTACAATGAAACCAGAAAACCCCGCTTCACCAAGCATCCCGCAGTGAGCCTTCCTCCAGCCGCTGTCCCAGGTAAGGGCAAAACCAGGGCCGGGCTCGTGCAACATCTGGGGCACCATATTGAAAGTGACGGACTTTCTGTGGGATTCATCCTGTCTTTCCTCCCTTACTTGATGGCACATCATCTTCTCCTCATCCCTTCCCACCTGTGTTCAAAATTGTTTGTATAAACACTGATCCTCCACCTCACTGAATTCTCAACACCACATATGACACTCACTTTGGAAACCTTTCAATAGAAGACTCCTAAAGATCAATAGGATCTTTCAGGTATCAGAGAAATAAAAATAATGGTGAAATCTGAGGCACCCTGATGATAGCTGAGTGTGTAAAAGTCCCCCAGCACTCTTCCACCTATATCATACAGACACCTTTCACATGCATATAAACTTAACTCCTTCTCATGCTCAACTTTTATTTTATTTTATGGTGGTGAGAACACTCATAACATGAGATCTATGCTCAACAAAGGTTCACATGTGCAAACGATATTGTCAACTGTGGGCACGCTCTTGTATAGCAGGTCACTAGCACTGACTCTTGTACAACTGAAACATACCCTTATAATCCCCTATCCGGCTCACTCTGTCCTTTTGAAAGGTCTACTGATTTCCCTCTTATTCTCATTCTTCTAAGACTGTGATACCAGATAAGAGTGGAATGAAGAACAGCATGAGACCTTAGGACTCTTCAGCTCTCAGACCTGAAAATAAGGTCTAAGGTCACCGCCCAATCGGTCATTCCTGCAGAGTGGTCTCAGAGTGAGCTTACCCCTCCCTTCACAGTTTCACCAAACCTGCTGGCAAAAGCCACTGCTCAACAGGCACTTGTCCCCGACTAGATTTTCCCAGCTACATATTTAAGACGCATGGTCTGACAAAAATGGTTTGATGTGTATGTCTCCACCAATCTCTAAATCCTCTTGCCCTGTTTTATTCTGCTTTACAGTACGTACAGTCTGTCTCATCTCTAGGGTAGGCTATTAGATATCTATTTTATGTTATATACTGTGTCTCTCCTATTAAAATGAGAAAAGGGACCATGTCTGTTTTATTTACTGCAGTATCCTCAGCATCTAGAACTGTGCTTGGCATACTGTAAGTGCTCAAATAATAGTTGTTGAATGAATAAATGGAGTTTTGTGGCTTATGTGGGAAAATGGAATAGAATACTTGAAATGGAGACTGTTCTGGAAAATACAAATAGGTGATTGTCATACCTACACTCTATGTCCTTGAGTCCATGCAATCAACTTAATGATTTTAAAGTTATTTGTATCTCATTCTATAAGTGAAAAGTGAGAGAATACATGATTACAACTGATTGGTTGGAAATAGCTGATTTTTACATTCAATTCAGGTAAAATACAGTCATTTACAGGAGAGGATGACCAAAAATAATCATTTACTGAGGAGCTGCTTGGACAGGAGGCCACCACGCTGCATGATCCACTGGTTTCAACACACAAGTAATGAAGAAAACCAAAATACGTTCTTTGCAAAGTATCTTAACTTCCTCACATTGCCTAGAAAATTCAAAACACCTCCAAAATATGACAGAAACTCTGACAGTATAAAAACTAACACAACATATAAACTAACCTCTATAGCCATGGCCTGTTTGGAGCTTCAGCCCAAGGACTAATAAGTTGTGGGTTCGATTCCAGTCATGGGCACGTACCTCGGTTGTGGTTTGTCCCTGGCCCTGGTTGGGTAGTGCGGGAGGCAACCAGTCGATGTGGCTCTATCACATCGATGTTTCTCTCCCTCCCTCTCACTCTATCTGATGACAAATAGAAAAATATCCTCGGGTGAGGTATAAAAAACAAACAAACAAAAACTAACCTCTATAGTTTAAAAGAAAAGAGGCATTGTATTAGTTTCTATCATAGATTAATTTGGGGATTTTTAGATCCAATTTGCTCTAATGTGACTTACAAAGGACTTATGGGCAAGGCTTTTCCTGAACACAAACAATTTCAGTCCCCTGTTAACAATCACTGCTTTCTGGCCGGTCTTCACAGCAGGTCCTCTTACAAAAGGACAAGGAGACGAGGTGGTCAAGTGTAAAGAACAGCAACCCACAGGCTGTCCAGGTACCAGGATGCTTACTATTTCCTTGGAGCGATTACACCATGAAATAGGTGAGTAGGTAAATAGCTGCTTTTCTCTATCATAAAAGAAAAAGGGAAAAGAAGGCTTTTAGTAGGGTTTTCCAAGCTTTTTTAATAACCACTTACATTTTCAAAATGTCAACAAGAAACAAATGAGCTAGGACATGACTACTTGTTGGAAGCCTTTGCTAAGATAATAGGAATGTAGAAAAGGGACTTATTATTTCTATTAAATCATGAAGTTTATGAGACTACAAAGATAAAGCTGACAGACTGTCCCCATTAGCAAGGCTAACAGGAAGGGTTGTTTGTTTTTAAAAGTAGTAATAGCTTATGTCATTCTTTTTCCTTAAACCTCACCTGGGATGTAGCAGTGAGCAGGCTGAGAGCATTAACAAACAGTCCTTGTGACTGATGGAAATTCACTCGCAGAAGGAGCGAGACCTCAGGGTAGCCCATGAGCAGGCTGCCCGGGGGCCTATACCCCACCTCCGAAATCCTTTCCATGGAGCAGGAGCTCTCTTGCAGAACATCTATTCTTTTCAGAGCAAATTATCTACTGAATGCTTCACAGCAACACTCTTTATTCAACTCTAAATTTTAAGGTGTTTCTAGCTCCATCAGCAACACCAGGGCACACCGTACACGCACCTATCAAAACAGATCTGACCTTCCATGTCTGAAGACTCTAGAAAACCAGATGGTGAGGCCACGAAGCAGCGTGTAACCAACATGGGCCCCGAAGTCAGTCAGGCCTGGGCTTGAATCCAGGCGGCTTCACCTCATCGCAGGTCACTTCAGTTTCTTGAGCCTCACACGAGGACGGCTATTCTTCTCCTTGTGAGCCATTCATGTCTAACAGTGCAGTCATATTCCGAAGAGAGCTAAGCCTCATGACCTTTAGATGCAATCCACAGCAGCCACTAATTAACTACAAGCCTCTGGAAAAAAAAAGATGCCTATCTCTGGATGATGAAGGCTGGTGGAGAAAAGGTTCCTGGCTTCCCAGTTACCTGAGGGTTTTGTTATTTTTTGCACACTGGCTGAGTGTGGAATATGCCAAGAAAGTCTGTACCCTAGGTGTGCAATCTAAATGATATCTCGGAGAGCACCACCTACACTGGACTACGAGGGAGGAAATGAACAGCTGTGGGCAAGACTGTACATGTGAGGGATTATCTGCAAGATAAACGATTTTATTTCCTGGCTCAAATGCTCTGTGCCTCACCTTAGTTTCCAAATAGAGATGTTGCAGGACCACTAAGATAACAGCGCCCCTATTCCAAGTGTTTCCAAGTGTGTTATTTGTATTCTCGGCTTCCTGCAGGGAAGTTTCAATGGATAGGGACACGTTTTAATAGGAATTTCAAAATTTCCTTCCCTATATAGAAAGAGGTTGTTCCTCTCTTTTTCCTCATTCATCCCACAGACACTTAGCCATTCGTGTCTGACAATGCAGTCATATTTTGAAGGGAGATAAGCCTCATGACCTTTAGATGCAATCCACAAAAACCACTAATTAACTATGAGCCCCTGAAAAAGAGATGCCTATCTCTGGATGATGAAGGCTGGTGGAGAAAAGGTTCCTAGCTTCCCAATTACCTGAGGGAAGAGGGTTTTGTTATTTTTTTGCACACGGGCTAGGTGTGGAACGGGTACCTACCACACACTGAGCTCCATGCTAGACACTGAGATGAACAAGAAAGATACAGCCTCTGCTGTCAGGAGCCCACACCTGAATTCAGGGCCAAGTGCCAAGGGGGAAACAGTGGCGGGAGGATACTTCTCGAGCAGTTAAAATATTCTGGATGTAGTGCAGAGAAAGAATTCTAAAATCGTAAAAGCAAGTTGCTGTCTCAGCTGATCTCTCTAGCCGCACAGAAATCCTTTTCTTGGGGAGCATTATTCTTTTCTTTTAGGCAAATGTTTTAGTTGAAAGGTGATAACCAACTGCTACCCCGTACCCCGAAAGCTGGTGTGGATAGGAAAGGAGAGAGAGCTGATTTATTCTACGTCACCAAGGAAAAGGAACCGGAGAGCTGGGCCGTCTCGGCTCACTCAGGAGGAACCTGTGGGGAGGAAGGACAGGATGAAGGCCCAGAGTAGGGAAAACATCAGTCTAGGGGGGTGGAGATGAGCCCATCACCACAGTCACAGCCCCAAGCCCTGGGTTTCAAGAGTGAGAGGAACTTGACATTAAACTGTCTGTTTTAAACTATTTTCTAATTCAGCCTCCTTTATCCCCCAAGCCTTCAGCAGTCTGTTACACGACAGCTCTAGGCAAAGGGTGCACTGACGAAGAGAAGAGGGGTTTTTCCCCTGCTGGAAGCAATGGGGCTGAGAGAGGGCAGCAGTCACGGCTGGGGAGAAGCATACACGGTACTCAGAACCCAAGGGGAGCAGGACTCCAAGGTTACGGAGACCCGAAAAATGCATGTCACAGCTTCCCCCACATACAGACATACCTCCTACTGTCCTTCTCGTCCCCAAGATCCTCAAACCAGGGAGGACACTGGACTTCCCAAAATATATGAGATGGGGACTCATTGTATTTAACTACTCAGGAAAGAGTAATGTTACAAAGCGGAACGGTTTAGGAACCCGCAGGTGATGTGGAAATCCAGTGCAAGTAAAGAAACGAATCTGTCTTCCAACACGAGTAAGGACTGCCCTATTTTCTGAGTACTCAGCATGGTGGCTAGAAAGTGCCTAAACTTGTTAGAAATTGGTTTGAGCAGTTGAGGTATATCTCATTTTATAAAAATGAAGTTATTTCTTCTCAAAGACGGACTGGAAAATGATTGTTTATATCAAATCCCATTTTCTTTCTGATCTCACTATAAAGTATCCTGTTCCGTTTAAGTGCAAGAAATAAGGAAAACAACCGGCCGCCTCCTGCAGGCCCCCCACTGGGGATTTGGCCCACAACCTGGGCATGTGCCCTGACTGGGAATCGAACCGGCAACCTCTTGGTGCATGGGTTGACGCTCAACCATTGAGCCACACTGGCTGAAATTCACTTAGTATTTTAAACAATCCCTTTAATTTCATATGTCCCCAAATAGTCTTTAGAAAATACCAATGTTAATAATGAAAACAATATTTCCACAGATACAGTTTCTTAACTATTACAATACCCTATCAGTAAAGAATCTGTCCTTTAACTTTCTAGCTCCATCTCCATTCCCAGATAAATTAAGATTCTCTGTAATACCTCACGGTCTGTTTTACACAAAAGAATTCTTTCTTAAACTATGAGGGCTACTAGCAACTATTTTTCTAGTTTCTGATTAAAAGCTCTTAATTAGCTTGTTTCATATAGTTTTATTTTCTTCATGACAAATCTTTCTTGCTTTTCTAGTTGATCGGTAACTTGCTTAAGTTGATTCCCATTTTCACAACAGCAGTGCCTAGAACTAACCGAGTAATTAAGGTCTTACTAACATTAAAAAACTAATCGAGTATCTACAACCCATACCTTAAACATGTTAAGCTAGTTCATACCAGCCATAAGTAAGGTGTTAGTACAATGAAGTAAATGTGCTTTGGAACAAATAAGGAATGGCATCGGTACTGGGTTACACAGTCCAACATTCATGTCCACCTGGAACCTCACAAGTAGGAATTTATTTGGAAATGGGGTCTTTACAGATGTAATTTGGGAAAATGAGGTCACGCTGGACTGGTGTGGGCTCTAAATCCAGTGGCTGTTGTCCTTATAGGAAAACCATGTGAAGACAGAGAGACATACCCAGAGGGAAGAAGGCCACAGCACACGACAAGCATAGGCAGACACGGGGTAATGAAGGTGCAAGCCAAAAAGCACCCAGGACTGCTGGCCATCCCCAGACGCTAAGATGACAGAAGAAAGATTCTTCCCAGGAGCTCCCGCCAACACCTTGATTTTAGCCTTCTCACCTGCAGAACCGTGAGAGAATAAATTTATCTGGTTTTACACTACCCAGTGTGTGGTCATTTGCTACAGTCGCTGTGGAAACTGATATAATATCTTTGACTGAAAGGCATGACTGGAGAAGAATAGCTTCCCCATGACCCATTTGTTTTTAAAATGAAATCCTAACACAGCAAAGATATATCACGCTGGAGAAACTTTCTATTCAATATTAACAACACACTCTTTACAGGTCCCTCATCCCTCTCATTATAAACCACAGTGTCCACCCATTCCGTAGGTCTTCTCACCCTTTACACGGACGCAAGGTAAAAGCCAAACCTAGCTATGAAAACCAACGGCACTGTGCAAAGAGTGTTATTCTGATGGTGTGATCACTGCGGAACAATACACGGGTTTTCTCTAATCGCTTCTGAAAACCCTGCCCTTATTTACAGTACAAAAGTAATGAAAATGCAGTTGTAATCATTATCATTCATTGAAAATCTGACAGGAAAAAAGCCCACATCTGAAAACATCGACACACTCAAAATCTTTAAAGCTTTTCAGGCTTACTTAATAATTTCAACCTGCCTGCCACAGCTCAATAAATTCTAAATGAGAAGCTTTGTGCAAAAGGGGCCCAAATTGGCAAAATAATTTCTTCCATACTCCCTATATCAGGTTTGTGTGTGTGAGCTTCAAGCTTTCCGCAAGCAGTGTTAAACATATGCTCTCTTCTGCAGGATTTTGGTGGCTGCGTCATAAGGAAATAGTTTATCAATGTATCACTTGTAACCGACTCTTCAGTAGAATTATGTAGTCACCTTGACATTTTCAACAAGTCAGGTATAGTGAGGAAGCAAATACACACACACACAGTGAAAAGGGAAACTCGTGGGGATACAATTAAACTGTCTCATTCTGGTAAAGATAGCTTTGGCTCAAATCGCTCTTCTGAAGAGACTCTTATCAGTTCAAGGAGAAGCTTTTCCAAATGTTTAAGACGACGCACACTGTGGTTTTCGCGATTCTACTTCCACTGACACAACGTTCAAGTGCCCCCGAAATAAAGCAAACATTTGTCACAATAACGAGCTCAATACGCTCCCGAAACCGTTTAAGTCAACTTAGGAAGGACTCTCCGAAATTAGTCAAACGTGTCACAAAGCAGTAAAGCCGTCCGCACTAGACACTGTGCTGTTCTTTCAGTCCCGTTCACTCTCCTTTCAAGACCTGGCATTCTGTTTCAAGGAGTGCCACGTGGAGCCGAGTGGGGCCAACAAGGCATCGCGTTAGTGAGTGTTCTTCCTCTCTTCACAGCTCTGTACGTGAAAAGCCAGGACAAGATCCGCGCTGGGGCAGGGAAAGAACTGGGTGCTAAGGCAAGTACCCACTGCTCTCCCTGGCCAGTGGCTCCTCTGCAGGGCTTGCAGCAATCACAGGTGTTCTGTGTCAAGGGCCATCCATGCAATACCCTAGGTTTAAGATAAAAATCAGTATTTCTCCAAGCTCTAAGAGAAAGCAGAGTGTATAGGAAAAGAACAGGCTTTGAGACCGCTCCGGGCTCCACCACGCTTAGCTGTGTGCTCTCTGGCAAACTGCTTAACTCCCCTGAAGTTGGGTTTCTTCATCTGAGTGGGGTGGGGCTGAAGAGAGGGCACGAATGCAGAGCACCTGAGGCTACAGAGGTCTAGGACACTCAACAAACGTGAAATCCTCTTCCTCTTCTTCCCCTCCCCCCAGCTAAGTTTAGGTTTAAGTTTTAAGTTTCAGCAGAAACACTGCAGATGTGTCAGCCTCCAATAGACAAAGTGCAAGGACTCCACCCCTGGGAGAGTTATTTGGGGCATATTTTTCCTTTTAAACATAAATAAGTGCCTGTAGCTATTCCAGGGCTGTTATGTTCTACTTCAGTATATACAGATAAGAAGTCTGCAAGTTAAAACTGTCATCCCAAAATTGTTCCCTCTGGGACAAATAAATAGTCTTTGTTACTAAGGATGCCAGGCTTTATTGTGCAGCTGAGTAATTATTACAGGGCTGCCAGGCCCTGTCGGGGAACCCACCGCCCCATGGATGGAATCAGGAGGTAAGAACTCTCCACACAGCCCTGCCAGTCACATGAAGAAAAGGTCCCTTGGCTGAGGTCTCTATTTAGAAGTTAACAGTCACTCTCTCAGTGATGGAAGAGGATAGCGTCAATGAGCCTTGGGAATAAATTAGCTGTTCTGAGATTCAAATCGGAACAGGAGAGACTGTTTTTCAGGTTTATGTTCCTTTGTTGTTAGCGGTATTTTTTTATTTCTGCCTTTTCCTCCCTGGATATTTGCTAAAATCTTTTTTCAGCTGTGCTAAATCAACCTAAGGGATTTTGTTCATATTTGGGGCAGAGTGGTAAAGGGGGCCTGGGGGCCTAGCCTGCTACTGGCAGCTGGCATGAAAGCTGCTGAAAAACTATACAAGAGAACCCCCACAATATGTTTTTTAAAAGACAGACAGACACATGCAAGTAGATAATATGAAGTTAAGATAGTTCTCCATCGTCTGGCCGGTGTGGGTCAGCGGTTGAGCGATGACACATGAATCAAGAGGTCACCGGTTCGATTCCCAGTCAGGGCACATGCCCAGGTTGTGGGCCCAATCCCCAGTGGTGGACATGCAGGAGGCAGCCAATCGATGTTCTCTCTCATCTATGTTTCTATCTCCCTCTCCCTCTCACCTCCTCTCTCTAAAATTAATAAAGGGAAAAAAAAATTTTTTAATAGTTCTGCAGCTAAAAATGTTTCTGTATGGTTCAAAAAGTATATGAACATGTATTTTAACCTTTTTGTTGTGAAAGGCATCATCCACGGACATGTGCACTTCAAAGATTAATCACAAAGGGAAATGCCCAGAACGTGCCAGAACCTAGAGGCCTCCCTCCCTCATAATCCCACTAATAAGTAACCCCCCCTTTCCCAAAAGCCAACCACCAACCTTTTTATTTTATTTTAATCCTCACCTGAGGACATTTTTCCATTTTTTTGTTCAGATAGAGGGGGAGAGAGGGAGAGAGAGAAACATCAACGTGAAAGGGACACATCGAGTGGCTGCCTCCCAAACAACCCAACCAGGGCCGGGGACAAACTGCAACCGAGGTACGTGCCCTTAGCGGAAACGGGTCTCTCTGGACCA